TGTACATGAGTTTAGACTGACACCCACAATGACAATGTTCCCTCACTTACTGGTTAGTTTGATTGACGACCAACTTTTTCAGCAACTTCACACAACATAAAATCCTTTGGTACTGTATTCTTGACTACCGTATATGTTTAACTAACAGGCTTCAACATGGTTGGTATGGCAATGTTGCCTCACTTACTGGTTAGTTTGATTGACGACCAACTCTTCAGCAACTTCGCACAACATAAAATCCTTTGGTACTGTATTCTTGACTACTGTATATGTTTAACTAACAAGATCGAATTGGTTAATCTCGTTTATTTCACCAGACTTCATGAGCTGCTAACGAATGAAATATCTTTTGAGCATCATATTGTAGCTGACTGATGCCACAAACGATTACCTCTGCTTACCTATTGCCTACAACAACCTGATTTTTCGAAGTATGCTTACCCTCAAACAAAATGTGAGCGTAGTTTGTAAGAGTATGGTACATATCCGACATCACAATCTCGTAAAACTAGTATTACAATTCGTCTAATCCTCTTCCTGTTGCTTTACTCCATCTGTCCAGTGCTGCAAAGGTATGAGAAAGTTGACTCTATTGGATACAAATGAAACCAACTAAGTACAATCTTTTTCACTCTCCAACTGATTCCTACAGTCCTTTCTTAACTTAAGTATCTTCAAACGGAACAACCAACTGAATGGTGAACGAATTTGCTTTCTTTTTATAAAATTAAACTACTTCGCTACGTTAACGGTTGTGTCAACTTGTCAGTGTAGATGGGGTTTAAGGCGTGTGCAATCTTGTCATCCAAAGAGTATGTTTGCAAAGTCTGCATTAGGCGAACGAAGAGGGCGCATGAATATTGCATAGATATTTATCCGCAGAAAACCGGATAGATATACAACAATGTTCACGGGCACCAATCTATAGTGTTTTTATTTTCATTCGTGTGCTATCCTACGCAATGCATCAGGATGTGGTTTTGCAAAGAAACGGACCACTGTTGCAAAAGTAGTTCCCATGTATTCAGAAGTTCGAACTTCTGGATTTCTGGACAATGACTGCTTTGGAATTCAAGCACTTCATCGAATCTCACTTCATCACGGTGTTTGCTCCATAACGTTGAATTCCTAACTGTTAGCGGACAACATGAGACAAGCGACGCTGGTTGTTGGGATGCTGCAAAGTAGTGCTTGAGATAGCCATCGCAAAGCTTGTCTAACTGGTGGCCTACGGTCCACGTGTGGCTCTTTTCAGGCTCTTCATGGTCTAAAAGAAAGATACTGTGATAATATATATATATATATATATATATATATATATATATACAGAGGCTTCTATAATTTGGACGGGTTTCGGTTTTGCTCGCACATAACACCGCGACACCGAAACCCCTGCGTTTTACTTACGGCCCTAATGATTGAAATGACTGAACGCTACTTTGAAGTGAGCTGCATGTGTCGTAATCCAATCACACGGCGGGTAATTGAAAGACCAGCTTTGACTTAGCTGTCGTTGTATGCTACCCTCATGGCAACAAAATGTGACCCACTTGACACTCTAGGGGTTTTCAATTTAATCTGCCTGGCCCGTGGTCTAAGTGCAAATGTACACCTTCTCACCTGCAATGGCATAATTTCTAACTACGTTGTGTACAACAATGTGAGTATTCCAAACTTGCCCAGTAAACTGAAAACCTCTAGCAATTTTTTAGTGCTTTCACTGGCGATGTCCAAACTGCAGCTTTTCTAAGTGCCCAGGTCGTTTCGAGAGAAGCAGAAATATTGGCGGAATGATTTGTTTTCACTAGGATACCAATTGTGTTAACTTCGATCATCCTGATGACAACAATGAGTCGAATATTTAAAATGATTTGGGCACCATAGTCGGTAAGTGCGCTGAATCGTTCTTGTTGTTATAAAGAGAAGCCTAGTGCCAATGTAAAAACTGTCTGACCGAGACACCGAGAAACCTTTGGCTGACACATTTTACCACCGTCGTCTGTTCCAAATTACAAGGAATGTCAACAAATTAATAAGAACCTGAATGAAAGACATATTCTTTGCGTTCATTTGCAAAATAATAGTCATGGATTACATTTCAAACGTAGGGCTAGTTACCGAAGATATTGTTTTGTCATCATTAATTCCAGCGGTATGCTCTAAATATCTAACCTGATTTTCCATCACTGACGCTTTAAATCAACAGAGGGGATCTAGTTGACAAATGTTATTAACTGGTTAAATTGGATACTAAGAAGCGCAATGTCTACTTGTCCAATGGCGCGTTGCGGAACTACCAAATATAGGGTAATCCAACTCATTGGGTCGTAATAATCAATAGTTGGCTGCTCCAACCGGCCGCAAACTGGTAAGGACATAACGAATGGATTCACGTCTCAAATGTTCACGAAAATATACATTGTTCAAGATTTTCACAGTTGTAGCTGAATAAAACTGGACCAAAATGGAAATCATTGTATCATAGAAGTGAGTTAAGCCATATTGGGTGCACCAAATGGGCACAGTATATAAATTCTCTAAATATTCAAACAAAATTCAATTGTGATCACAAGTACAGGCAGATGCAACTTAGGCGCCATGCTTCCACGAGTACCAGTCGACCCATTGCAGTAGAGCACAGAACTGCTTCATTGTACAAATTGGTTTGCGGGATTATCCGGTAAGCTGGAATATGGGAAATCAACTGTTAGTTGTGGATAAACCAGACTATCTTTGTAACTCTTAACTCATTTGGACTAAAAACTGACAGACAAACCCTAACTCATTGAAAAGTGTTCGAGATATTCCTTCATAGATTAATTATGAAAGACTTTTGTCCATGCTTTTATCCCCTGCTCTGGTCCGACTATTCATCACGCAGGCAGGAACTTTAACAAAAACACACTCATAGCCTTCATCATAAATTGACGCACGTGGTTTATCATCTTGCACGCTAATTTTGAGCGAGTCTGAGATTTGGGGCCATGATAACTTAGACGCACCCGTGACCTATTGAGGTCAGTGATGATAGGTATCGAGTAGCGGTAATGATCATGAGCATTTTTCACGACAGCTGCTGGTGCAGCGAGACGAATTGTTCCGCCATAAGTCGGACCGGTTGATGTCGATTTAAATTTCGCCCGGCTAGAGGTCACTCAATTGCAGTCGACTGATAATGCTGATGGATCGTGTTTTCTTTTGACGAACATCAAAAAGCACTCTGAAGCAACCTCAGGACACGTGCATGTCAGTATGTCACAGCCGCATGCTACCAGTTCAGGGAGTAATCAAGGGTTCTGTTATTCCAAACCATTGGCCTCGAATTCAACCAAAGGCTTTCACCCAGTTAAAATAGACACAGAAAAAAGTGAATAGGTTTAGAATGGTTTCGTCGAAATAAGCTGGTTTTTGTTTGCAAGCTGAGTAGGAAAATAAAATGTGGACCACAGTGTTCTTCCGATAAGCTTGTTGGGTCCAGCTTTATATAGTCCGTAAACTTGACATTGTTTTCGAAAATCTTTGGTTTAAATTTACTTTCGTAGATTTACTTCTTTTCCATACTATAACACAGAACTACGTGTTAAACATTGAGACTATCATTCGTTAGAAAGATGTAACCGTAACTGTTTAGTGGAATGTTTTTTTAAAAATATCCTTATCATGAAGATGACCTAAAGGTATAACACAAATTTCATCTAATCGAATTTGCTAACATGCACTTCTTTCACTGTTTCCGCTCTTTATTTTAGCTCAGCTTTGATGTCCTTCACTACAGAACAGTTTACCCCTACAAGTTGAACAAATTATTTAAGCATCAGTATTATAAGAATGTCGGTCTGCATATTTAGGGTCCGGCATATCCAAGAAATTCGATCATATTTCCCCGTTTTGCCGTGGTCGCTAAGAATCAGACTATTTTCGCAACAGTTATACATGGTCTTATATAGCTGGACTTTGCTAAAGTGTGTCCAACCGGTCTTTGACACTTGGTTGATCAGTTCATAGAATCCACCACAGCTCATAAGAAACCTAACGGGTTAGTACTTCACCAGTGTTTTGTTCATATTCCTATGGAGCGGTTTTATACGTGCTCCTATTTACTTGAATCGTCTTCAATGTACACTGGGTTTCTACAGCCTTTACCACATAAATCTTTAGTGAATACTCCACCGTCTCAAAACGCACCGTCTTCAGTGATTATGTTCCAGCCATTAATCTCAGGGCGCTATGAACTTTTCAAGTCCAGCGAGTTGCCTACGCGTATAAGACGACACAGCTTGCGGTAGGCGGTAAGTGATGATACAATTTATATCCACTACGAAATTGTATAACGTATGGTGGTAGAAAGTAACTCCAGTATCCGGATAAATTTAGCTAGTGCAATAACAAATGTGACGCCGTTAGCGCATGTAAAGTTACTGTTGGTGTGCTCATTTACGTATATATTTGGTTAGAGAAGATAAAAGACTACCGATTTTTGTCATAGCACCGTTTTAGTAGTCCACTGTGAGTACATAGGCATCAGGTCTATTTTTAAAAGCTTCGGCATTTTAGCACTTGTTCACTCCGCAGCAGAATCAACTAAAATTTCCGTCTACATGAGCTGTGCGAAATGATAGCAAACAGGAATGGAAATTAATCTCTTAATGTTACAAGCGGATTAATGTGACTGAATAGATTGCTGTTATAAATATGATAATTGGAAGGTGTAGAATATCGATAGGCTACATGTGCTTCTCATTAGTTAAGCATTTACCGAGGTTTTTTAATGATTACCGATAGATAATTATCCTGATTCAAATTATGCGAAGATTTTGGCTTTGACTACCGAATGACATATGACCATCACACAAATTATTTCATCAGCAATATTTTCATCAAAATCGCAAGGGTTGGAAGTGCTCTCCAAGATTATGTTCGCACAGTACAGGTTTCGAAAACGTATCGCAACTGATTAAGGTTTCGCCGCGCAGTAGAAATACGTTTAAAGTGAGCGGTAATAAATACAAGTATTCCGCTTGCGCGCCCTATAACATATCGATGCAGTCACACAGATGTACATATTCTCCTTCTCCACTTTCTGTATTAGGTATTCGTGAGAAAGGGACGTAGGTGAGTAATACCAGTGCGGACGTTGAACCTCACTGACGTGACTGCCTGGGAACTGCATCCGAAACACGCCCATCCAGACGTCCATATATGGACTGATCGGTTCTCGTTGGCAAAACCTTGCATTCAGCGCGTTAGAGCAGGTCACTCCATTGTATCCAGCTTATGGTCAGCTGAATAGAAACGGGAAATATCAGCCGGATGTGAGTCTAATCACTATCACCATTAGCATGTTCCTGGATTTTGCCTAGTCATACAAACGCCTCTTGAGTATTGGTTGCAAAGAGCATGTAGTTCCCCAGTTATGGTATTTGGCTTACCCTCCACCGGTTATTGTGGTTTGCTTGATATATCATATAAGAATGCCATAAATTCAATTCAAGGGGACCTGCATCCTCTTCCTTACGCTGAAATACTTAGGTGAGAGCAAATTTCTCGTGTTGTGTAATTCTTTCGCCTACTTCTTGATTGAGTTTGAGCACGGTGTATTCAAATCGTGGGCGAAATGTTTGCGATAATGCAACTGCTGCTAACGTTTACAACTGCAGTTGGTCTGAGGCATCACGATACAGAGGAGTTCATCATTAGTTGTCCGTACACACAGCTGCCACAATAAGCATAGCAAAAGTGAATGCACCATATCATGTCCGGGCACATGTATGCGACCGTTGTCTTGCAGCTTGACATACGGTTGTACTGTCTTTTATCCTACGGTCGATTGAACTTTCGTTAAGTCAGGGCGGTTCTACGTGTTAAACAGCTCCATTCGCCTTTCTCATTGGAAGGTCGAGTATTTACAGAACCATAGAGAGTTGCCACCTTAGTGTACTGCCAGTCGTTGCTGCCGGCCAGGACGTAAACTCCACTTATGCTTATGTTCAAAGAGTCAACTTAGCGAGTGGTAACATAATTATTGCCCAACGATCACTCACTGCAAATCCGGTTTGTAGGACCGCCTTCCCTATTGCTGTTTGAGGATTTAACAACTGACCCTGCTCAGTTGCGAGCCAACCGCGCAAAATTGTCCGCCAGCTTTCGTAGCTAGAACCTCCTCTATATTAAGTGAGGCTGTAAATATCTCGCGTTAAATCTCCCTCACTGCATTACTCGCACCCCAGTAATGTATATTATTCAGTGTAGGTCTCTAACTAATCAGTTAGAGACCTCGACTGGTCTCTTCCTTTCAGGCTGTACCAGTGACATAGCAAATGCTCTTGCCGCCCGCGGCGGTGGTAAAATTTTTCCTCTAACTGAAGGCAGAATGGGCCCACGGTAAAATGAAGATTAGTTTGCGATGAAATGGATGGTACTTTGGGACATTGAGGTCAATGTAGTAACAGTGACCTCCAATTGGATAAGTAAGAGGATCTCTGGGAAGAAGGGTTGCATCGGAGTGATACATGATGCAAAGTGTCCCTAATCATCCATAGATAAATTAAAATATTTAAGCTTTATCTTAGCTAGAAGTTTGGCACCTTTTATGTTTGGGTATCGAAAAATCAACGGTACTAAGATGCCATACCTCCATACTATTGCTCCAGATTGTACATTAAACATGCTCTCCGATCTATTGCATAGTGTTATTTAGCGGCCCCATGTTACACGCATCCTGAGACAGCTACTGCCATCCTGCTGGATGAAATGGAGTTCTGATCACAACCGTCCAAATCAATGTGGCCCAATTCTCTAGGTAGGAGGAATTCAACACCCGCTAACAGCTTGTCAGGTGTCAGTAGAATGTTGAGTAACCAAAAACATCAAACAGATCATTCCCACTTTAACTAGTAGTGTTCGCTGAGCTGGAAAACTCTACAGCAAATTTCATCTATTCACTTACCCATACGGTTCTCCAGAATTGACAAAGGAGGAATAACCTTGTACGGCATCTGCCGAATTGGACCTCTGATGTAATTGCTGTGGTAAACTGTCGCCGGAACTTGAGCAAACGGAACTCCCAAATGGAAAAACTGTGCCCCTTTGATCGGTTTCCAGTGGATGTTCATCCCTCGACCAGCCCTTTGCAATCACTGGAGATGGAGGCGTGTTTCTGTACTGGTCGTCCGTCAGGTGCTCATCGGAGTACGGACCGCTTTCTGGGGAATGAGAGCGGCTTGTGGAGGAAGAACATAGTGAAGAAGTCGAACGATTATCCGAAGGCAGTTTGTCCTCCACATGATCTACGTAGTCCTGGTTTTCCTTTGATCTCTCTGATCGAAAGAATGTTTCAGCGTTCCTTGCCTCTGACTGCTCATGCCAGAGACCGTCAGCTGGCTTCAGTCGATCATGGGGAGATTCCATCGACCGCTGCGAATGAAAGCCTGAACGTTTAGAACATACTGTGTTGACTACGGTCTCCTTGAGCAACGTATAAGGGGAGGAAATTAGGTCAAAGTGTTGCGGATTGTTTGACACCGGGGATGAAGGCGTTGGCATAAATGTTAATGGATTCAGATTTTGGTTGGTGTTAGTAGCTGTGGAACATTGATGTTCTTGTGGAGGGAATACTGTGTTGCTAATTCCAGAAAATCCCAGAGCAGCATCAATGGCCTGGCTTTGTAAATGAATAAGCTGTGACTGTGCGACTTTATCTCCCACATCAAATATAGGGGCTTGATAAATACGTTGTAACGTAGGAGACCGTTGACAAATATCTCCCATTGGGTCTGGTGCTTTGGCAGAGTATAAGGGAAATATACTTGTTGCGGTCTTATTGTCCACACTTTGGTTGACACCGAAGCTCCGATAACTGTCAGACTCTCCATGTGACGCTGACTCTGTCACACGGCTCAGGTCCTGCGTTCCGAGTTTAGGCTGATTACCTTGTTGCCTGTGAAATGTCAGTTCTGTATCAGTTGAATGTGCCTCGGAATGAAAATGAACATCTGTGGCGTAAAGTCGTGAGAATGGATAATCCGAATATCCCAGCATATCCGATCTATCAGCACGGACACGATGAAGTCCCGGGTCGACGCGGCTCGCGGTAAGTTGTGGTGCTTGATTTTGACAGCTACTTGCTGCTGCAACCATCGCCGCGGCCGCCATAGCATAGGCATCGTAAGGAGTAGAGTAAGCATTGTAATTCTCTGCATTTGCTTGTGTCGCGATCTCATGTCCACGGGTCGAAAAATCACCAACCATAGGGTAGTTTTTCATAAGCATCTCCGGGAATGATTGTTCTGAATAGAAAGCATGGGGGAATGAAACTCTCTGTTGCACATCACTGGTTTCCCAACCGAAAAAGTTGGAAATATAGCCTGGATCGGGAGCGTGTGCAGGTTGTAGACCGAGCCAACGTCCGCTTCGCTTATTGGTTTCACAATGGGCTGTATCGTTTCTGGGATACTGGTCTCCGAAGTTTGTGTGCGCATAGTGAGGCTGACCGAAGCTGTGATAAACGTGTGGAGTTCCAGAATAAATTGTCTGACCACAACTTACAGTTGCACATTCTGGCTGGAAGGAGGACTTGTTCAGGTTCCTTTTTCTTCTGCAATGCGTTGACTTTCCTGTTCCTCTATTCCTTGATGTGATTGCCTGTGCAGGGTTCATTTGCGAAGAAAACGGGTGGACCGTACTTTGAGTAAACCTTGAGGTCATCAGAACATCACTTGTAAGCGGCCTGCGGTCGACAGTTAATCGATGTCTTGCAACGTTTGAATAAGCATCCAATTTCAACCCTCGTCCATAAGTATTGCCTGTATCCAACGAGCTATTTTCGTTAATCATAGTATGCGAGCTGAATGGAACAACCGAGTCCACAGTAGTCAGACTACTGCTTCCGCTTCCATTAACAAGGCTACCCATGAAACCTGGCTCAAATTCCTTTACCTGTGGAGTGGAGAAAATCCCACTGTGGTCAGCGAGCTGGCCACTTCCTGGTAGGCTTTCTTCGCTGAGCAAAGTTTCTGGTTCCAAGAAAGGAAAAGGTAGTTTATATTCCTCGCTTCGGCGGATAAATAGCTCCATACCTTCCTGATAACTTTAAGCAGAAAGAAATTAGAAAGATTGACACTGTGCAGAAGAAGATGGTGACATTTAAGCACGAACAATTAGTACTGTCACGTAAACTGAGACAAGATTTCAACAAGTTTTCACTGACAACCTCGTTTCGTTATCTAATACTTAAGTCACGGGTGCTGTGCAATGATGATTGTAGAGACCCAGGTACCATAATATTTGATTCACCCACCCGTTTCATCTATTCGATAACTACTAAAACAATTGGGTTCAATTGACTTACGAGAGTTGACGATGAATAGCGATAATATGGTCATGTTTCCCATTCTTCAACATTAGCTTTACTCTTGATTGCAGCCATATCCATAAACCCGATTTGTTGAGCCATCGATGAACTAAAAGCCCAATAGATCCGGTCCGGAACACTGAAGAAAAACGGAAAGGCATCGAGAAGTGTGGAAGCACAACTCTACAGCTTTACTCATAAAACAGATTGCGAAGTTGCTCGTATTTTAGGGAAGGAATTGGACTCTGAGAAGTTACCTATTATTTCACAGATAAAGTGACAATTTTCATAGAATAGTTCCTTTCACCAGCCCGGCAAAACTCACCCTCTCGATGTCCCTGAGCTACATAAAGTAGATCGTCTGGGTGCACTAAATCGTAGACCTTGACACGTTGCAATTCGGTGTCAGTGTAGTTGAACAGTGTCCGCGTTCTGTGCAAAAGAAAATATGCGCACAATGACCAGTTACAAATCAGCAACTTTGAGGCTTCGATCCACATTTATGGGGTATCGGGTGGAGTCTTCAAACTAGTCACTGCATTTTTCAACGTGCATCAGTTTACGTTGTCAACTGTTGCTATCTCAGTTTTGCAAGAATAGTTCGACTACATCTAATCTCAAACAATTTCAAAGTCCACAGAGACCATTACACTCCATCGAGAATTGAAATACAGAGATATTGCTCAAGATCTCCGATTTATTGCTTATTGGATCAAATATTTAAACCTTAAATAAAACTAGTCACGAAGAACAGTTTTAATAAAATTGGCCAGTTGATTAAATGCATATTCCTAAGCTTATGCTTAGCATAGTGTGGCCGTTGCTCTTGAAAGCCGGGAAACATATTCGTGAGATGACAGTATTTCGTTTTCATTTTCGTCTGTTAGATCGTAAAATTTTGTATTTTTAATGGTATCAATTTAGTACATCTGCAGTTGATTATGCAAAAAACTGAAACTACCTGTGGCTACGGAAAGCTTATCTCGAACAGACTTGAATGGGGCGAAGTAAGGTGGTCTCATCTTACGTTAAATGCAGCTATTGAACTCTGCTTAACTTCTAAGTTATAGGCCAGTTTTCCGGATGGAAAAGACATGAATCTACGGAACCATTTGTTACCAGCTTTGTAAGTTCCACAGTGCTGACTTACCGAGAATCAATACTCATCACGGTCAAATCCAGTTGGTGCTTCGTTTTAAAGGTCAAATCACGTTGTGCACCCATCAGGCTTGGCATTGGCCCAAGCGGACTGCAAACCACAAAGAGTCCGAGTGGTGGTTGACCATACTGAACCGTATTTGTTTTGTGTCCAGAAGGCGAGGCTGAGTTAACCATGGACCGAGCTGAGTTGATGTGAGCGTGACCCAGTTGTGAGCTTGGGACACAGCTGGTTGAATGTTTCCCTCTCAATTGGCCGTAAAGGAACTGCAAACGCCCACACAATTCCAAAGTCTGCGTGCCAATTCAGTGAAATAAGTAAGGTTTATCAAAACAACTCCAATGAAAAAGGTGATAGTGCAGAGAACATTGCAACGTCAGATTTGGGTGTCGTTTTTTTACTTACTGCTACCAAACCGCTAAGCGAGAGAAACCATGGGTATTGGCTAAATTTTCGGTAGTTCTTTTAGCGTCGCACACAAAATATTTCCCAGTAACACCGATGAAAACCAGGCAAATGTTTTTGCCCCACCTTATAACCAGGGGAATAGCTATCAAACGTATGCAGTCTATCATTCATTACAGACCGCATATGCACCAATACGTTCCAATAACACTCCCTTGTTAAATAGGTATAAAATGTGAGTGTGTGGAAGTGCAATGATAACGGGTAATTTCCGTATTAAAAGATGCCTTTCTGACATCGACATGCACATTCGTTGATGCTACGGCAGTGTTAAATACAGAAAAATTTGAACTCATGCTAACAAATGACAATAGCAAAAACAACTATTTCGCATCTGATGAAGAGTGCCAAGTGTCCGCCACAACGTAGACATCTGGCCTTTAGCGATCGTGTGCTATCCCACAGCCCAGCACTTGATATTTGACTGTGCTCAAAACCCATCTTCAGTGTGCAACTTGTCTCGCTGCTTACTTTCCTTTAAAGGCACCAAAGAGACATTAAAACCGAAACACTGGAACGCAGGCCAAATGCTAATAAAACCAGCTGCTATGCTGCTAGTTCTAAAGCGGTTTATATTGCGTAGCAACAGAGGGCTTTTCTGTAAGCGTTTCTTCTACATAGGCTTTAATTATTTTGCTAAATTTGACCACTTAATGAGCTGACATCTCGGATGATGCGTTAGGCATTCTAGCGAGCTACCAACACACGGTCTGTCGCATGACAGGATTAAGACGTTTAAGCTTCTGACTGTCGAGAATCCACTAGTCACCCTATTTTATTTCATCTGTTATTTGTGTTCTTATATTCCATTTTATAATGGTAAATGCCGGAACAGATTTGTCGAAAAGCATACTCTTCGCAAAATTGCGTTCCTGCATTTCTAGTCAAGTTGTATTTACTTTGATTTTAAATGCAGTGATCAGGTTCATGGAAAAAATGCGGAATTGTAAGTTTATATTTATGCATATGCTCCGCATTGTGCCCCATGCTGAGGCTGATGTTGCATTCTTGATGCTTCTTCACAGCAGTTCGGCTAAACCAACTTACACTTAAACTAGGTATTTTTAAGCTGGCTATATTTCATTCCACTTTATTTGGTTTGTTCTGCCTAACTGAATAATCTCCTAGTAACTGGCCACGTTGCTTACACTAATTGCGCTTGTCTTCAAGAACTTTGTTGCGTTTTGTAGCATTTTAAGTAACTTGTGGACATGTCTTGCTTATCACGGATTCGTTGCTAACCAACTTAATTCATATGCTAATTTAGCGAAGTGTTATGCCACTGTATCTGTATGCATTATTGGATCCATGTTATTTCAGCTTGTCGTTTAAAATGAATTGCTGTTGCTTGATATCCCCGGTGTGGCTGCGCTTGATGTGCATGTTGACAAGGTGCCTACCTGTCTATTACCCACTACCTCGCTCATACTGGCTCCAGGAGACAGCTGGTCGTTGCTGGAGGGTACAGGGTGCACGGTCCTTTTGTCCGTGCTAGCCTCGAAGAGTGGTTCCATGCACTCAGTGTAGAGCGGACTACGGTCCAGCCACCGCCTTGTGTGCGATTGATTCCCAAATACAGTGTGCTTGTGTTTGCCTGTGAAGGCGTGTGGGCCGGCTCCGTTGATGAAACGTGGATCCCATCCACATGCCTCCCGGTCTTATTCCTTCGGGTTTACACTGGATATGGGGTGTGTGGTTGGAGCTGTGGGTGGTGCAGCGCAAGCCACCCATGGTCCCTCTGTAGGCGCAGGCGTCCTGTGGCTGGCCACAGTGACAGGCAAATCCGAAACCGGAGGCCGCCAGCCATACGCTCCGCACGAATTTTGTGTCAGCAACTTGCTGAGTTGTGTGGTGAAAATGATCTCCCGAATCCCGCTCAACCACCTAATCACTCAAGTCGTTAAACCGAAAGTGACAGAAAAGCAATGTGGATTCCTTTCAGGCCGCAGCATCATCGATATGCTTTTCGCAGCTCCTCAGCTTCAGAAGAAATGCAGAGAGCCACACCAGCCATTATACTCACTGTTTATAGAATTCACAAAAGCATTTGATAAGGTGAATAGCAAGGCATTATAGTCGGTGTTGGGTGAGTTTGCTTGTCCGAGTAAATTTATAAGTTTCATTGCATGTCTACAAAGCGGTATGTGGGCGAGGGTGCAGATGTGTAGACAAAGCTCAGAGGCGTTTGCTGTTGTCGCTGATGTGAAGCAAAGCTGGGTCTTAGCTGCTACCCTGGTTAATATTTGCCTTCATGCAATGATGTTTTGCACTTGGATGCTGCTTGTGATTAAGGTGTCCGTGTGGAACACCTTATTGATGCTGGGTTGCTGAAAATTCGTCGATTGGGGGCAAGAACCACATTGTGTGAGACAACTATCCGTATGTTGCTGTTTGCTGACGACTATGCGTTGTTTGCACACAGCGAGAATGAGTTGCAGCACATGAATTCGGCTGTTGTTTCGGTAGCAGCCAAATTCGGGCTCACCATCAACACTATCAAAACTGTTTGCCTTTTCCAGAATTCTCTAGGAATGGAGAACGAAATTGGGATGCGCAATCTTTCATACCAGATGAGGCTGGAACGACTGGGGGTATTCAGTGGAAGCTATCGCAGACCACTAGGCGACTTGATTATGGCATACTTGATTCTGCGCGACCCACAGCATTTCTGCCACCCTTTACTGCGACCCAGCACCAATACAACATTGAGGGGCCACTCACTGGTACTCTCAGCAAAATACAGCCGTCTGAAGTGGAGCAGGAATTTCTGTTCCATTCGTGTCTGTCACGCGTGGAATTCTGTCCCAGTATCGGTCGTCTCTGCATCGACACTAACAATCTTTAAAAGACAGTTGGATGGTGCACTCATCCATTTACAGTTTGTCACTTAGCACTACGTCTCCATCTTACACTTGGAGTTAACCAGAGAATTATTTTATGTTAACTACGGGTGCTGTGAATCTAAGCGGCTTGCAGGACTACGATGAAGCAAACAATTACTCCTTATTTTCATATTTAATGTACCAACTGTTTTACTATTACTATTATTATCCTTATTATTATGTCGATATCCCTACAAAGTATCCAACGGGACTTGTAAAGCAACGCTTCTTAACCCGTACAAATTCGTTGTTTATTGTTCATGGAGACCTATGACGTGCGCCTAATCTATGTTGTTGATGAAGTATTGGAGACAGTATCGAAATTTTACTGACTTAGAAGATTAATATGAACCGATTAGCAGATGACGAGAGCCGCCCATCCGCGCAAATAAGACGGCTGCTACATTTAACAAACTGGAGTATCGTGCGGTGGAATCACTAGCTTACGGTTGGGACAAAGCCGAATATATGCCGGTCAATGGTTCTGTCCGTTTTTCTATATGGCAGCGAAATGTGGATACTTTATCGAAAGGACGTCCGGTGCGCTTGCATCAACAGTACCTGTGTGGTATCCTATGCATCGGCTGGAGTGACTGAGTCTCAGAAACGGAGGTTGTGTGACGCAGTGTCAGGTATGCAATGGATTGCATAAATTTCCTGAGACACTTGATGTGGCTGGAGCATATAAACCGCATTTATTCGACGCGCATACCCAAGCAGCTGCTATATGAACAAATTAGTGCAAGGAAGCGGCCCATTAGAAAACCGGTTTCGTTATCAGGACACAACCAAGGTGGGTGTGCCACAAACTAATATAGATTTCCGATATTGGGAAACAATGGTCGCTGATCGGAGCGAATGGCGTGAGCTAATCTATTGACCACTTGTTCTGGTAGAAGAGAAAGCACTATGGCGTGCGGAGGTAAATGCCAGGCACGGAAGCAACAAACGCCGATGAAGTCTGTTCCATCGACCTCAAGCGCATGGTGATGTAACACATTCGGACACGAGCGTCTCAGCCAAGTGGAACTGGTAAGACACCGGCTTGGACAAGGGGCTCAGCATCCAAAAAGCGACGAGTCAAGCGACTAAGTAAACAGCTTCATCGCAAGATGCGTAAGTACGTCGCGTCCGCATCCATTCAATTTATTAACCCAGGGAAATAAGTCGGTTGGTGTGTTAAGTGTGCTACATCAACGATGCTGTTAATCTGTACATGTACCTGCGTGCTGAGTTTCATGTGCTTCTGCTGTTGACAGCTGCTTGATATTGCCGGTGTGGCTGTGCTTAAGGTGAATGTTGTCGAGTTGGCTGCAAGTCTAACACCGCACACCTCGATTAAACTAGCTACAGGAAACTGTGAATCTTTACAGGATGGACGGGTTGCACCGTCCTTGTGACGGTGCTAGGTTCAGCGAGTAGTCCCGTCGTGTGTGGACTGGGGTACGTCCCAGTCACTGCGTTGCGCAAGTTGGGTAGTCAGGATCCCCCAATTACACTGACTGGACTGCTGCAGCGGCAGCAGCAGCAGCTGCTGCTGCTGTTGCTGCTGCTACTGCTGCTGCTGCTGCTGCTGCTGCTGCTGCTGCTGCTGCTGCTGCTGCTGCTGCTGCTGCTGCTGCTGCTGCTGCTGCTGCTGCTGCTGCTGCTGCTGCTGCTGCTGCTGCTGCTGCTGCTGCTGCTGCTGCTGCTGCTGCTGCTGCTGCTGCTGCTGCTGCTGCTGCTGCTGCTGCTGCTGCTGCTGCTGCTGCTGCTGCTGCTGCTGCTGGAGGTATGTGGGTCTTATTCCTTGCGGTTTACACAGGACGTTGGGTGCGTGCTTATAGCTGCGGGTAGGGCAGCGCAAACCATCCATGGTCTCTTTCTGTGGGCTCAGACTTTCTGTGTCTGGCCTCTTGGAAACCACTTTGACAGGCAAATCCAGTATTAGATGCCACAAACAGTACATTCGGTTTACTGCTTTGTTATCCTACTCAATACTTATACGCTCCCTTTCCATCAATGTTAAATTACCCAAATATTCATTTTTGTTTGGCCTGCCGAATTCGTTTTCGGTGTTACGGGAGCAATATCACATATTATACGGAATAGGTAAATACTGTAGAAAAAGTCAGACCCAAATGACAATCTACCTGTTAGACTCACAATAAATCCGGAGGTGTTATCCAGTAAGCATCGGAAACGCACAGTGAATCGCCTTCTCAAGTGGTGGCATAGTTCTGCAATGCAAAGAAGTGGTCAGTCAGTTCAATGTTACTTTTGGCTCACTTGGTAGAAATAACGGGGTTTAGAAGGGTTAAATGCCTGAAAAATAGGGTCGCTCTCGCCTGGGTTGTCTGTTGTTAAATCCATTAGATAAGTAATTCTGCATTTCTATGCGGCTGACCCAGCGTTCTTTATGCACTAGCTCTCAGAAAAAGTAAAGTTGCTTCACTTAACTAGGTAAGGCGTTTCGCACTGTTGGTTTGTGGACCTAATGCATAGTTTCTCACTAATTACTATCTCAGTGGGTTGAGTTCATACGAAAGACTTTCTGAGCCACAGACAAGGAAAAAGTCACACGTCTACCACCACAGTTTTGAATGCAAGTTAAGAAAACGGCTATGCAAGGATACACTTAAACAACTACAACAGAGACGGCCTTTGATGTTGATTTTAATAAGACATTTTTATTCCCCACAAGCTGACGTAGTTTGCGATAATACTGAAACGCAAAAGACATACGTAGTTGACTGTGCTTTAAAGTATACCCACGCTGGAACATTCACTCAACGAAAGTATATTTACAAACTTAAAATGTGATCCAATGTGGACCAAACGTTGCCTCGTAAAATTTCCCGAACAAATAGTTGCTCTGCGGTAACAGTTGTTACTATATAATTACCTTGTTGTGCTACGTGATGCTTTTACGTAGTCAGAAATTCTCCAGCAATTAGAAACTAAGCGCTAGTTTCCACCCCTTTTTCTTGCATCAACAAGTACGTCTGCATACCAGTGAAGTCACTCACCTCTTGTCATTAGTTCACTCAGTGTACAAGACTGCAACTCAGGTGGCAGCTCATTCCTCCAAGATAGTTTTCTGATAAACTCCTCCCGATCCTCAGAATGGATTAATTCCAATACACTTTGATGTAATATGTCCGCCTGTTAAAGAAACAACAGGCAGTTAAAACAGAAAAGTTGGGTATAACTTAAACAGCAGGCTTTAATGCATCCCTCTGGTGAATTTGAAATAGTCGTGCTGGTAAGGATACGTTCCGCCTTCCTGATCCTTCCGTATATATCCACGAACTTTCGTGGTGAGCAGGATTCAGAGTGAAAAACCAACTGGCGCGTGCAAAAATGCTTTAAGCAGTTGACCGAAGGACTCCGCTGGAATTTAGTAGCACGGTTGCCTAATCCTGTTACGTAGCCAATGACGCTTTAGGCTTAGTTAAGCAAATAACTACTTCACTAACGGGAGTAAAATGATACATATTGGTAACGGATAACATAGTGTTTTAACAGTTGCGTAATAACTATCTGCATGACCAAACCGAGGCCCTACATAAGATTTCATCCTGCACGCAGATCTGCATTTCAAAATGCTATTTTTTAGACTTATCCCTGCTAAATCCACTTTTATTTTGCTATGGCCATGTTATTACACGATGATTGCGGTTCATTTAAGCATCTTTCAGTCGTTTAATATCTTCCGAACTTGCAAATTTTCAATAGACTGCAAACCTATTTCCAAATGTTGACTGGCAAAAACAACTTAACGAAAAATGGTCACATTCCGCTTGTCAGTCAGCCATTGTACATCCAAAAATCAATGATGTCTTTTCATTCATTGGAAAATTGTCATCATTGTCCATTCCAACTAACCGGTGAGCTCCTAGAACATGCAATCTGCGTTTCGAAGCCATGCAAGTTGCGGTGCAGAGGACAACCCTGAGCTCTGAACGCTGAAAACACATGACGTTTGAGAATGAACACGTGAAATAAATCGTATCTACCTACTGTTCCATTGCAGCTTCCGCTCATCTAACTGGCCAACTAATTCTAACCGTGGAACTGGAAGTATGGTTGCAGTTTTCATCCCTTCAGAGGGCTCATGGGATGCGCTGCTAACACTGCCCGAAAAAGGAACAATCCTTCAATGTTTATCCAAAGGTGCCGTGGCTACAGACTAAGTCTAGCTGGGGCGATTCGCCTCCAAAAGCGCAAACAGAATTCAAAATTTAGCTGCATTCGGACAACATTAAATAACTGAAAATTTCTCCGTCGTCTTCATGTTGTCATAAACAGCTTTACAATTGTTAGGTCGCATGCAATTCTGTTGCATGCCCCATTGTAATCACAATGTAGGCGAACTCATATTAGTGCACCTGGATGCTCATCAGGATTCCGTGGACTTGGTTTGAAGGTGCGTTTGGTTCATTCAGTAAGATACTGTTTCGCAAGTAAACTCCTGAATTCTGCCACGCCAGCTGCACAAATATGCCCAAGAAAGCACAAGCGGTAAGCAACACCTCAACTGTCTTCTGCGAGTGCGCGTACCATGAGAGCGCAACATCATGACGGAACAAATAAACAGTGTATCCGTACGTGTCCGTGTTTGACAGGGCATTGCTGCAGCTGGCCTGGTGTACGTGCTAAATGAACACTTGAAGGTGTGTTGGCATTCTCTTTTGCTATCCCCTAACATTCACACGTCTGAAACTTTGCATCGAGGGCGGTTCACGCTGTCCGAACGTGCGGGAGAACTACTCTGTCGCTAGAACCAGGTTTGCAGGTGGCGAGAACGCCTGCTGATGCCACCACTGTCACCATGTCACCGAGGCAAACATTAGGTAAGACGAGTTCCCGATCATTGACGGCAAAATCATTAAATGTGACAAGTGAGTGTATAGCCGATAAATCTTAGATGACTCCTCTAAATCGATAAGATGGTGAGATAGTTGGCGGAACACTTTGGTGTTCTAGGTTGTTTCGCCAGCACACTGAAGCCGGTGCATGCTATTTTCTTTCAGGCAAGTAAGCTTCACCCCTTGCTACTTCAATGTAAATAACGAAGTAAGCACTGATTTTGTACACAAGCCTGTGGAAGTTACAGGCAAGACGAGTCAAAGTCCTCGTTTTGTGCGCATTCCCATCAACAACCTATGAGGGTTTAATGACCGTTTTACCAGCAACCACTGACCCAAGTGTTCCCATTCTAGGGGCTCACTAATGCGAAAATGTTAAGCGTGCATCTCTTGACCTAGCATTTTAGTCGTAGCAGAAGGTGCACGATGGGCTTTTATTTGTACTGCAAAAAATTAAACGACTTAATCGACACTCACTTGATGAAACCCGAGGTAGTGTTCAACAGTCTTGGAAACGGAAAATATCTCTCCATCGCAAGACATAATGAATATGAATCCATTCAGTGCCTGCAATGAATTATGCATTGTGTTTAGTGATATCACAGTCTGTCGAACTAATCAACAGTTAACAAAGATAATACACGAAACCCTTTGTCCACCTACCTACTAACGGCTAAAAGTCTATAAGGACGCAGTGGCATAGGTCATTGCATTTTGAAACACATACCAATGGGTAGCAATTAATCCTGCAACATAGGAGGTATTTTCGCACCTAATAGCCTTCATGCCAAGTGCGTCTACTTAAAAGAAATTGTCAAGAGGCTTTGCAAGCACCCTAAGTTAAGTCAGGATGTTGCCCCCACATACATGTCTGTAGGTGACGTACTTTTGGTGAAGTTAAATCAGGAGTATTTTGTTTCTGTTGCTCGAAAATTCAAATCTACTACGAGATACGACTCACTTGGAGACAAGTTTCTCCCTCAATACGTGTCATGTCGAACGGACAGTGATACAGATGGGATACCAAACGGTTTTCCGAGACCAAACGATCGTAAGCGAAAGCTAAAATAAATCGCATTATGTCATACTGAAGGCACCAACAAATGATACAAAAACTGCTGTCTTCAACAAAAGATACCAAATGCAACCTTTCTTTACAAGCAGCTAGTGATAAAAGTTACTAGGGCAATGGGTGTGCTCAAGACTCCTAACTCCAAGTAATTCTCTTAATGGCACTTTGAAGCGCTCCCATGAAAACAACAAATCGGACGTAGCAACAACAAATGTTAATTGTCTGTCTTCGGAAAGCCGTCGTTCTCTCTGTTGCTGCGTTGACGAAACGGAGCACGTCATTTATTCCATGATCTTCCGGATTCCACAGAAATATGCTAAACTATTGTTCAGAATGGGTTTTAGCCCGAGGCTAAGGATAAACCTTGGTATCAAGACAGGAAGTCATCTATAATGAACAACCAATACCCAGCGGAAACAAGGCACGTGTGGTTAGAGTTAAGCCAAGTGTCCGAAATCCAGATTCGTCATGAATTGCATGCAAATGACTGACTGGGATAGATAATTTTTCTACCCCAAAGCTAAGTATCAGTTCCAGCACATGTGGGCGCTGGAAGTGAGTATACACCACCGAAGCGTAGCAGCTCTTAAGCAAGGGAATGCTGCACAATCAGCTTTCCCTGAACGGCAATCAGCCACGTCCCCATCTCCGTCGTCTTCTCAAACTTTTGTAGAACGCCGGGCAAAAACGGAGCGTACCTACGCCAGTCAAACAGTACTAATAGCAAGGAAAAGCAGGCAAAACTCGAAACGTCTGGTTAAGCAATCTGCACTAGACTTGACATCTGGCATTAACAAGAATGAAGCAGCCAAACAACTCTCAATACCCGCAGCTCAAATGATTCTTGTGGAGACAAAGCCCCACTGAAGCCCAGGTACATATGCCGAAATTGCTGCATAGGTCAGTCGGGAGGTCACCGTTGCTGACTTTTCCGTTGTAAACACCGAGAACGTAAATAAAAGGACAAAGGTCAAACAATCATCACTTGTCAGCAGATCAGAATAAAAGACTAGCATACCTTGTAGATCAGGGGATAAAGGATTCAACAATAGTGCCCAGACTATTTTATGCTCAAATATCCACGAATCTGCTGCCAAGACATTGCGAGATAAGTTATCGGACGATCAAGACCAATGGAATTCATTGCACGTGCTGATGACTGTCAGAGCCAAAACCATAAACTTATTACGAATTATTTGGCATTCGAACTCGCCACACTATTGAAAGCCTAGACACATTTGGGTAAAATTAGAATCCTCCATCGACATAGATAACCTTTTGCTCTCCCCAAGCTCGCAAAGACACGGATCCTGTGTGGCATACATCCATCGTGATGTCCCTTGGAGCGCGTGACAATCAAAGAAACATCAATGAGGGACAGAGCATGCAAAACCGCCCAAACACAAGATGCATATATGGCTTGCCAGAATCTCATTGTAACAAAGCTTAAGCGACCGTAAAGCACGATTTCGAACCGTGGCGGTTCAATTGTGAAATATTTTCTTGGATAATATTCTGAAGCTATCACTCACCAGGATACCTCACTCACTAAATTATAGAGAATTCGACCCTAGAAAGTTACGCCTTGTTTTTCAGTCAGAGCAAAAAGCAACGGGTGTCTTGGATCGATGGCAGAGAAATCGCGAAATGCTTCTTTCTCTACTTTGGTTAAATATCGCAGAAGCTTAGCGCAGCTCAAATATTAAAGCACATAAAGCAGCAAGTGTACAGATGAATGTACAGAAGCGTAACGACTGCTGCTTTAATTGACTCTGACGTTGATATAAACAAAGAATGGGACGCATCTTGGCCAAACGATGTTTCAGACGTGGTAACATCCTCTCATCAAAAAATGAGTAAGTGTCGACCTCCCGTCAGTGGGCATTCTCCCAAACTTGACCCCTTTAGATCTTAATGGGCTCTTAGAGACTGAGAACCTGGCCTGCTTCTATATGAATGCTCAGGGTCTTTTTAATAAACTGGCTGAACTGAAGAATCGCTAGGCTGCTGGTTTGTATGATGTCAATGGTATCACCGAGACATGGCGGCACACGGGATTTACAGACGCTGAAGTTTCGCTACCGGGCATGTCGCTGATCCGGAAATATAGGCTCACAAAAGGAGGAGTGGTCATCTTGTATTTTTGAAGCGGCTTACAGTGTGAAGTCGTGAGGGATTCAGACTCGTAGTTCCGACTATCTTTGTTGCCGCTTGCAGTTAAAAGGAAGAGACACTTGCCTTATTGTTTTGGTGTACCACACCCTAACTCCACACCCAAGACCGAATACCACCTTGCGGTTGCTTTAAGATGCACTTTAAAGAGAAATTACACTCACATACTTATCATGGATGATTTCAGCGTGCATTGTATATACACTTCTTTCACGATCGGGGTACAATTCAAAGCCGATTTACAAGATCTTGTAAAGACAGATCCTGCTTAGAAACGAAGAGCGTATGATTGATGTTTTGCTTGGAGACTGCCCGTTCGGTCGCAGTACTCAAGCAGTGATCAGTTTCACGTTCTTCTACTGTGAAAATATCAAACTGAGAACGATGAAACTGTGCGAACCATCATAAGCTACAATCGCTTAGCCCAACTTGTCAGCGTTACAACTTGTTCGTTCCTTGCCAATGAACAATGGATCGAGTTCGTCAACAAATGCAGGCAGCTGATTGCAGTGGCTTCAGAGATTTGAGTTTGCAGTAAGTGTAAATCACATTCTTTCCTCAGCAGCAGAATTCGAAAACGCAAGGCAGCATAGCGAGAATTCTGAGCAGCTCCAGCATCAGAAACCTGGAACAACTACGTAGTGCAACGTAACCATTATACTCTGCTGTTAAGAGAAGACAAATCGTCATATCAGCAGAACATCGCAAGCACGTTAAGTGCTAACCACAAGCTGTTGTACAAACACCTCAATAGCCTACTAAAGGTGAAACAAGATTTTCCTCCACTCAGGACGACCAATGACCCTACAAGAACGGTCGTGTAAGCAGCAAACAAGATGTGGATGCAATATGCCCCCCAGTTCCGGAAGGTCTTGCAATCAAACGGTCTTCCATGCTTTGTCTTCTCTCCGCCAGGACTAACACACATCATTTTTACTGCAGAGTCTGTGTTGCAAAAGTTGACGTCTCTACGCAAACACAGCTCGCAGTGTTTCGATACCATTCGTTCAGCGGCACTGGAAGCAGCAGCACATCAATTGGCAGTAATTTAGCACAGCTTAGCTAGCCGTGCTTAGACCGGAATCATGTTCCCCGCTATGCGAATGCTTGGAATGATAACCCTGATTCCAAAGGTGGAAGCAGCACAGATCCCCCCAACTACCGCCAAGAATCCCTTCTTCCTATACTCTCCAAAGTCATGGAATCCTTACATGACGATGCAATCGCCGATGCAGTGTAACATTATCACGCTTGAGCAGCACGACTTCGTAGACAGCTGTCAAACACAACGATTTTACTAATCGCAGGCAGTAGTTGGAGCGAGTGAGCTGAGGCTGGAGAAGGTGTTGATGGATCCTGGCATCCATGGCTTAAACACGAACTTAATGCACTGGAACAGCCACAAGATCAGGCATCTAAGAACGTAAATGGAATGTGCCATCTTCCATACCAGCAGAGGCTGCAGCGATTGAGAGTATTCTCTAGAAACTCTCGCCGAGAACGAGGTGACCTAATTATGGCATACTTGATTCTGCGAGACCCACCTCATGTGCGCCACCCTATACTGCAAATCAGCACCGATACAACCCTGCGGGATCACTCAAAGAAACTCGCTGTACATTATAGCCGTCTGGAGTGCCGCAGAAATTCCTTTTCCATTCGCGTCTACCACCCATCGAATGCTCTCCCAGCATCGGTCGTCTCTGCACCGACACTAACAGTATGTAAAAGACTGTTGGATGAAGCACTGATCCACTTACACTCCGTTACTTTTAGCTACGTCTCCATCCTACTCCTGTAGTTTACAACGCAGTTGTTTGATGTTAACTGTGGGTGATGTGAATGTAAGCTGCTTACAGGACTGCAGCGTAGCAAACGATAAGTCCCTGCTTTTATATTTAAATTACTAACCGTTTCACTATTGTTATTATTATCACCATTATTTCGATATTCCCACCAACTATCCAACGGGACTATTAAAGCAACGCTTCTTAACCCGTATGCATTTCTTGTTTATTTATCATTGGTCTTAGTTGACGCGATATTCTGATCTGTGTTGTTGTAAGTAGGTTGGCGAAAACAGAAATTGCTTTAAGAATGTTGCGAATTATGCGATTTATTTCCTTGTGTGCATTAAAGCAGCAATGGCCGTCTCGTTGCTCTCTGTCAAATGGTCAGCAATTAACCGCGGCAAGTCATTAGCTTGCCCAAAATCGGTCGTTGATTTGCAATACATGTTAAAAGCGTAGCTAGTAAGGAAAGAGCTCATATTTCTAGATGAATTGTAAGTGTGCCCTGGCAAAATTTATGCAACCTAATATAGTTAGTAATGGCTTGTGTCCCGTAAGTCACCGCAAGTGGCTGCTACATCATTTTGTAAGTTTTGAAAAGCAATATAATACAGGTGTTATTCTTTTCCACCTGAGTTATTCCCTTCCGCTGCCGATAAGGAACAGACCACGTAGATAACGGCTTTCTCACAACCATCTGAAAAATGTGAGATAAAGGCCTCGTTGCCATAGATTTTTTCATCGGTGACTACTAAAATCAAAAGCATTTGATCACCATGAGTGAGGAGGATATAAGAGGTCAGAAAATATTTCATTTAGTACCCTGTTATTTAACACTTAGTGGGCCAAAGTAACTTGATCCCCTTCACCAGTAGTTACTTTATGGATAATCGGTTTTGATACATTTCCGCGATAAAATTAGTGTAGTGGCCAATCATTTCAAAGAAAGAATGTTGGGTACTCACATCTATCGGATCTGGCGTGTCGACAATACCTGATGTGTTCCCTGGATCACGATGGCGTCCGTTATGATTATTGATAAAT